ATATGCACCAAAATATTGAGATTAATGAAAACCCAGTTCAGAGCATTCAGAACCTCTAGTTGAGCTCCATGATCATATATGCAGATGAGAGAAACCTAGAGAAGGACAAACATCACTGCAACACTCCAACGAACTGAGCTTTATGGCGGTGTGGCCAAACTCAGTCCTCTCCTCAGTAAAGACACATGAAAACACACTTGGAATTTGCAAAACAGCACCTAAAGCACCCTCAGACTGAGAGAAACAAGATTCTCTGGTCTGATGAACCTCAATTCCAAGCATCATGTTTGAAGAAAACCAAGCACTGCTCATCACCTGCAGAGTACCATCCTAAAAGTAAAGTGTGCTGGTAGCAGCCTCATGCTGTGGGGCTGTTTTTCAGCGGCAGGGACTGAGGGACTCAGTGTAGAAGAAAAGCTCAATGCACCAAAATATAGAGATAGCCTTAATGAAAAACTAGTCCAGTAGCTTCATGAGAAAAAAAGAAGAAGAATTTAAACAATTGTAGTATCAGGCTGCAACATAACAAAATTGAAAAAAGTGAAGGAGTTCTGAATACTTTCTGAATGCAACGTATGTGACCCATGGCGTACAAGTTAATATCCAGAGGCTGTTTTTATCTTGTGATGTTTGTCTAGCTGGTGTATCACAGTCTGCAGCTGGTGGCGTTTGCAGTGCTGGCTGTGCTCATCATGAGACTGAAGCTCTTCCTCACTCCTCACATGTGCATCATGTCCTGTTTGATCTGCTCCAGACAGGTGACCCAACTATTCATTCTCCATAACTCGCCCCAAAATGTCCATAATGCAAGGAAGCTGATTTGAGCAAAAGCTTTTCAAATGTGGTGTGACTAATGTTTTGATTTCATCTGCAGCTGTTTGGCTGGGTAGGAGAGAAGTTTAAACTCCAGCTGACAGCCGTGGGAATATTATCCATCATGGCAGTCCAAGGAGTCACCAACCTGCAGAGTCAATGGGACATCATAGGAGAATTCAGTAACTTCCCTCAAGAAGAGCTCCTGGAGTGGATCAAAGACAACACAAGCCCTAGTGAGAAACTTTTGCTGTTCAACGGCACAAAATGAAGCATCTCACTTCCTGTGACCAGTGTCTGACTCCTGCATCCATGCAATGTTCCTGTAGATGCTGTGTTTGCTGGTGCAATGCCCACCATGGCGAGTGTGAAACTGTCCACAGGAAGAGCCATAGTGAACCACCCGCACTATGAAGACGCAGGATTGAGGCACACATGATTTAACATACGCTTCATCTCTACAGTGTTTAATTCTCATATTTTTTTGTCAATGTAAAGTGTTTGATTTAATTTGTCCTTATTCAGAGAAAGAACAAAGATGGTGTATGCCATGTACAGCCGAAAGCCAGCTGAGGTAGTGAAGCGAAACTTAATAAAGCTGCAGGTGGACTATTTCATCCTTGAGGACTCGTGGTGCACCAGACGCTCCAAGTAAATTCTGCATACTTTGAATTGATACCGCTGTCTGATCAGTTCTTTCATCTCACGTGTTTCTTCTTCTTCTCCAGGCCCGGTTGCAGCATGCCTGAGATCTGGGACGTGGAGGATGCACAAAATGCAGGAAAAGTGCCACTTTGCACTCTCATGTGGAGGGATTCACGTCCTCACTTCTCCACTATCTTTCACAACAACATTTACAAAGTCCTTCGAGTTCCCAAAACAGTGAGAGATATGAGATAACAGCAGTTTTCCCCTCACCTTACTGTTTTCCTGTCTTTGTTATGTGTGTGTATGTACACAGCAATGATTATTTTTGTAAAGGTCAGATGTGTTTTTCTTGAGCCCTGCACTTTTGGTGTCCGTTTTGTTTTGATAAGCTGTAAGAGATGTTTAAACCGCTGTGAGAGAGTCAATCGGTATTGAATCACCCCTTTTCACTTAAAGGAATAGTTCACCCAAAAATGAAATTTGCTGAAAATGTACTCCATCTAAGATGTAGATGAGTTTGTTTCTTCATCAGAACAGATTTAGTCCATGAAGACTTTTATTATTTCTGACGGCACTCATTCACTGCAGAGGAAACATTGGTGAGCAAGTGATGTAATGCTTAATTTCTCCAAATCTGTTCTGATGAAGAAACGAACTCATCTACACCTTGGATGGCTTGAGGGTGAGTCAATTTTAAGCATATTAAAGTTTTTTTTTTTTGATGAACTATTCCTTTAACCATCTGTTCTCATGCTTGTTAAAATGTCTTTTATTAGGATGACTGTGATTTTTGTCTTCAGTGGTGCTGCTGTTTGCCTGATGCATGTGGTCCAGACAATTGTTTACTTAAATAGTTTCACTTTTTGTGCATAAAATATTTTATGCAGTCCCTTTTGGATTTTCAACCTGTGACGTTTTGTGAAACACTTTTTGTGTATAGTTTTAAAATTTACATTTGTTTTGGGCAGATGCTCTTACCAAAGTGACCTACAAAAAATTATATAGTTTGAGGGAGGATTATGATAGTCTATAGTGTTATTTTTTTTAAATCTGCAAACTTAATTTTATTAGTCAATGGTTGTAAATAAACTGCTTGTTACTCTTTTGTGTGTGTGGAAATCTTGATCCGTGTTATGTATTAGAGTAGCTATCTTAAGTATTTTCTCTCTTTTAATGTTTTAAATGTATTGTCATTTGGATCATGTCGGTTTCTGTACTGAAGTTTACCAGTGCTAGTGTTGTGCTCATTTCCCAAGATTAAGGAAATGGCAACAGACAAGTTTTTGTCCCAGTTCCTTTCTTGATGTCATGTAGTAATAATAATAGTACTTTAAAACCCAAGCTGAAGGACTGTAATCACTGCCATAGTATTATTAAAGATATCAATTTGTAGCATGTGTATTGTTGTAATTCAGAAGTATCCTTTACATTTCATTTGACATGCATGTGAAGTGTTTAAGAACTCTTTTTTTTTTTTTTTTTTCAAATGTGAGGAACTGTTTTTATTTGACCAATTAAATGTTATTTGAGTCAATCATTGAAACTTTTTGTTGTTTTTAAGTATAATGTTCATGTGACTTTTAAGGCACAATGTATGTTTTCATCAACTGAACTGGACAGTATGGTCATTTAGCTGGTGAAGTATTTTTGTGTTTGTAAATTGCTAATAAGAGTATACATAACTTTAATTTTCTTTTAATCGTCCCCATTCACACTCAGAAAAAAAGATTATTTGGTTAGTGTGCCTTAAAAGTTTATTAAAAAAAATTAATGATTTGAAACATCCACTTTAAAGTATGTAACATTTGGCCCTCTAGCGGTTAAAAATAAACCTGCATGAGTCATACTGAAGATGTTTGCTCTTCGTGTATGAATGTGGATCGAGGCACCGGTGAACGCATGGTTGGTTCATTTTATCAGAACAGGTTTGAAATTAACCGTTTTTAATGATCTATAGTTGATTTTTCTCGTTCGTTGCGACACTTTCAGATTTATGCTACCCAAACGTTTCTCTGTGTACGGACATGACGTATGCATGAAATCCGTCCCGACAGCTCTAAAATAAACCTATAATTATTTATAGCCAATAAACTTGTATTTGGCTAAAATAAAGACAGTTTGGAAAATTATGTTAGCCTGCTATATATATATAGAGAGAGAGAGAGAGAGAGACAGAGCATGCATTTTTGTTAGTGTAGCATTAATATTCAGGAAAAAAAATCCCACAAAATAAAAACCAAGACAAACATTAGATTAAAGACATCAGACATTTCTTTTTTTTTTCCCTTTAATAACTTCAACATTACAAAAGACAGCTCTCTCCCCTGTGTTTATATTGTACAAATTCAAAACTTTATGTCCTACATTTTCTTAAATCTTGATTTGGCCAGTTCACAAGGGAAACATCTGTCTGAACTAGGGCAGAATTCTGTAAAAGTACATGTTTAATACATTGTGCAGACAGAAGCTCCGAACACCACGGCAGCAATACTTGTTCAGAGTCTCACTGTGAGGCTAATAAAGCAAGATACTAACCACATATGACTGAAAACCATCTTCCGGATATTCAATTTCATTCCCACCCACAGACTCCAGCATTTATTGATCACATTTAACAAGCAACTTGCTGCGAGCGTGAAAGTGTACAGAATGAACGTAGTGATTTACAAATCAAAGAGTGCTTTCATATACAGTATAGTTGTCAGAGGTATTTCATTGTCACTGTGGGATCTATGAAGCGCCGTGTGAGCATGAGGGCAGTAAGCTAGCTTACTACTGCAAACAAATGACTCAATTCAAATGAACTATACTTGGCAACTCCTAAAGCTATAGAAGTTTCCACCACAAAATTAAAAAAAACAAATAAGGTCATTCTGAGTTTACATCTCACAATTCAGATCCCCCCCCCTCCGAATCGCAAGGGAAAAAAAGACTTTTGTGAAATAAAAAGCCACAATTACCTTTTTTATTTTTTATCCCATAGTGGAAATAAACTTCCAAACAGTATAAACCAGGTCAAATAAATTTTATAACCAATAAAATAAAATAACTGACAATTGCGCTGTTGGAGTATTAGAAATATTGCAAAAAAAGGTCAACATCTATAGTAAAAAAAATTTCAGCATGAACAAAATGGCATAAAAAGGCAACTTTTTTGTCCAGTGTAAAATTAAAAGACATTTCTAATAAAATGAAAAGCAAAAAGGAGGACATGTGATTTTTTTTTTCCAAACATAAAAAAAGTAGTGTGGGGAAAGAGTGCAAAAAAGGAGTTTCCTGACACTGCTCTAGATTAAATAAGTTGTTGTCAGGCCTACAGCCGCGATGGCAAGCCTACCTAAAGTGCACATTAACACCAGTAACAGAAGAGGAAAGAAATGACAGGCCAACAACACTGCAGCAGTCCTTCTGCCCCATCATGCCTGTGTCGTCTATTTAACCATTAAATGACCGTTAATAAATTAGTTGATTAACACATTATAAAAATCATACGTACTAACAATAGAAAATTCTATTTTATAACACTAACAAAGAGAAACAATGTAAACACATGAATGAATGTGGGGGAAAACTCTTTAACACAATCTGGAGCAATTTACATTACTCAAGTATGAATTTTTCTTGCTATTTATTTCAGAGTGACTGCAAGAATTGATCTGTTTGTTCTCCTCCTTCTGTTTTGTTTTAATATAGTATTTGTACATAAATCAAATAATCTGTCAGACCACCATTGGGAATTACATTTTTACAAGTACAATAATAATAATAATTTACTTTGTATTTAGGTTTAATATGTCCTTCATGTGACATTTTGAAGTGTTCGCTTTGCACGCTTTTTTTTCCAGTAGTTTGGAAAGTCAGTCATGCAGCCTAATGTCACCACCTTTGGTCTCAACGAGACATTTTCTCATATATGCATTTATTTTTATTTTTTAAAAGCAGCACTCTGCAACAAACAGCATTTTTATATACTGAAAGTAAAATATCTTAGGTGATGATCTGAAAACTGTGGTACCGTGAGAAACAGGATTTTAGCGTGTTAAGCTAATCCTAAAAGACTTTGTCTTCATTATCTTGACAAAAATAAAATAAATAAAATAAAATAAAAATATGAAACCTAAGAGTCTGAAGAGTTCTTCATAACATACCCTAAATGTCTGAAATCATGGTGCTTTATTCATATTAAAAACAAATTGTACAAAATAAAAAAGGGTTTGTTGGTGTGATTAAAAATAGAAACTTCGATAAATATACCTGGAAGCCATATCTCAGCCCTCTATCGGGCGTCTCTACCTTTGGCAGGTTGGAAGGGCACACAGAACAGAGCAACACCGTTCCAGACTAGAGGACTCTGGGAAGGGCCCTGCACGTGTCCACAGTGAGCTCTCAAAGTCTGTCTCTCATAATGACGTCTCTGTATCCACACATTTATCCCCCTGCTCATCCTCCACACTGATCTTAATACTAGCCATCTTCTCTTCACTGTAAAACAAAGAGAAAAGATGAAGGAAAAATGAACTCAAAGCAGGTGCCCAGCAAAATGTTTCTAAATGTTAATATCACCATACTTGCAACACACAATATCAGATTCAATGAAGCACAAACATGATATATGCAAAAGCAAATCCAGCGCACACACACTTTTCACAGGCACTGGTTTTAAACAACGGATAAAGGCCTGGTCACATGAAGATAAATGAAAAACGCAAACTAATAACTTTTATAAAATCTTAATTTTGTATATAAAAATACTTTTCTAAAATAAATAAACAATATTATATATTATTTTTTTAATATTAATGTTTTCTTTATGCTAGAAATAAAACAATTATTATATTAACATGTATTTGCATGTATATATTTATATTCATAGAATTTATATTATACATAAATATATTTAAAATATAAACAATATTTTTCTTAAATATATACATGCATGTGTGTGTGTGTATTTATATATACAAATTTGTATTATACAAAGTATATTATTTTTTACAAAAATATACTTTTATAAAATACAAACAATTATATATATATATATATAATTGATCATTTATTTCTCATAATTATTTATGTATTTGGATGTGATTAATCGTTTGACAGCACTCATTTATATAAATTAATATATAAAATAGTACATTGGGACTCATTTGCAATTATTAACTTTACTTATGTAAGACTGTGTTTATGAATAATTTGTTGCACTGAATCAAATTGAACAATATACATTCAAATGAAAACTCGGACAAACAGGCCTTTACTGGTTAAAATCTACAGTTCGTCTGTACAGCTTTACATCTATGCAGGAAAAACAGGCTGTGCGTTGAAGCAGTGAGAGGAAACAGTGCTATGAAAAACAGGGATGAGGTTAGAGGAACAAGGCTACCTGGCACTAGGTTTCAATACTTTGGCACTGTCAGAGCTCATGGCAACAGCTCTCCACACAGCAGTTTTGGCCATCTCATCAGATATGTTAACCACAGAGGGGTCAGTGCTGCAGAAAAGACACATCAGAGCACTTATAGCTGGTCGCCCACACTTTAACACACTCACTTCTCTTCCTGTTCACCAGCACAGTGCTTGATGGCCATTTGATTAATAAAGCATGAAAATCACATCAGATGAACCAAAGACAAACCTTCCCAGTGCAGACCCTGTGTGTTATTTCAGAGGTGAGCATTTAATGTTGTTCATGAGTAATATGTCATGTTAGTAATCAAAGCAGCTTTGAGTCAGATAGACAAAGTTTTACTTGCTCCCTTGCTGAAAGCTAAACATCAACCTTATGGAACTGTTTTTCTTCTATAAGACCATTCTAGATAAGATAAAGTAACCGTGAAATGGACACGAAGCAGATATGAGACAAAACGGACCAAACTTGCCAAACAAGAACAACAACAAAATCAATCCTTGAACTCCCAAAACAAAATCCACATTCACAGGGCAACCTATAACTAAAGAAGTGGTTAAAAAAAATAACAAAATTGAGGTCGGTAAGATTTTTTACAACATTTTTGAAATAAGTCTTATCAAGGCTGCATTTATTTGATAAAAAAATACAGTAATGTAAACACCGTAATAATACAGTAAACGGTAGTAATATTGTTAAAGATTATAACAATTTAAAAAAATGTTTTCTGTTTAGTATCTTTTTAAAATATAATTTATTTCTCTGGTAGCAAAGCTGAACAATATATTTAAAACAGCTATGCTGCTTAATATTTTTTGTGGAAACTGTGACTTTTCCTAGGATTATTTAATGAATAGAAAGTTCAAAATAACAGCATTTATTTGAAAAAGTAAAGCCATTAAAACCTTAAAAATGATTTCTGTCACTTTGGATTAATTTATTTCATCCTTGCCAAATAAATTGTAATTTCTTCTTAATGTGAAATTCTTCTTACTGACCAGGCACATGCAGAGGGGGGTGCGATGGGTGCTTGAGCACCTGCCCCTTTTCCCCTTGATACCCAAAGTGCACTTTTGTCAAGGCAATTTTTATTTATTTTTTTGTAATTAAACGCCATTTTGTGAAGGCCTGCCCAATCTATTAGTAAAATGAATGAATAATAATTTAGTCGTAAATAAAATTATCCACATGATGATGACCTTTCACCTGACGATCTCATCAGGGATTATCCCTCACGTTCAGACACCTTTAATGTAGCGCACTGATGCCTTCATAAAGTCCACGGCTGCCGGTAAGTGCAGCTCTCAGTCGAGCGGTGTGCTTGTATACTTATATTATTAAATTATTATTATTATTATTATACAAGAACTGCCTGAAGAGAGCATGCACAGCTGTTGTTTATATTGCTGTTTGTAGCCTGTGGAAGTAAGGTTACCTGCAGCAAGGGGCTATAATATTTTTGTTCAATATTTTCCTGATGACAATTTTATGATCGGTTTATAAAGGCTACTATGAGCACCTTTTCCCCATTTTTTTTTATCACAGAATAAGGCAGGAAATGTATAGTTTCTATAGGCTACTAAATGATATGTCAATCAGTACTGCATTATTCATAAAGTTTATTTATTACCTGGAGATAACTTGAAAAACACACATAAACCATATATTTTTGCAATCGTGTGTTTATTGTCTTCACGTTTCATCAGTAAACACATTTCTGCTTTGGGGTGCTTTTGTCCATATTAGGGTTTCCTGCAGTCATAAGTCATTCCTTCTATGAGTCTGTTTTGGACTTTCTGCACGAGAACGCCCTCCAGCTTCGAGTATGAATTAAACATACACTGCATGAGAGTGTTATTGCTGTTGAGCGCTCCAGATATTCACTTCTCCTCATTTTGGATATGAATAAAACGCCAGGTCATGCATAGACTATCGATACTGTCTCTTTGAATTTAAATCTAGAAACCTCTACGTGAACACACCTGCCCGAATAAAGTGCGGGGGACGAAATTACATTTCTTTAAAATTAAATATTAAAAATGCAGCTAACGTTCTACACACAGCAATATAAACAAAGGTGCCTGTTGTCTTTCGTTCTTGCTGTTTGATTGGGAAAAGTTTAAAGGGCGTCGAGGAGTCTTGTCTTTATGTTATCTGACTAAAAAACTATTACTTTGAACTTTTTTATTACAGTATTTCTTTTTAAAACGTAGAGTGCCTTAAAAATAATCACAATAACACTGATAAAACAGGCTTATACTGATTTTCTCATCCTCCAATTTATAGACTACTTATCCATCCTGTTTTTATCATTATTATAATTTAAAAAAATAATAAATTCAGAACAGGATTATAATATAATTCTATTTTAAATAAGACAGAAATATTTTTTCTACAACAACAGTAGTGTTTACAACAGCAAAACCACCATACCCTGTAAACTCAATAATAATAATAGGCCTAATTTAATTCTGTTTCTATTTTCAGAGTGATTAAGAGGTGCAAAGAAATATTTATTTAACTTTTAAACTTAAAATGGTCTTTTCTGTTATGTGTTTCTTTTTCAAAACTGCGTCACGGCATTTGCTGCTATCAATACAGAAGCATCCGTTTCGATACATTTCTCAGCAAGGAGCACAACCCTATTAAAAGCCGTGCTCCATGTGCCCCTTTTATACTTTGAGCACCTGTCCCTCCAAAGGTCTCTGCACGGCCCTGTTACTGACCCTAAACTTTTTAACAGTAATGTATGTCTAAATCGAGTATAATCATCATGGTGAAAACAACAACTGGTCTGAGCACATTTCTGAGATAGATACGATTAATAATGATTAATCCTGTTGTGTAATTATATAAAATATCCGACCACATAAATGCACAACTGACCACAATTCCAGAGAGCCATTAATAATGTGGATTACACTGGCCTTGAGGCAAGGAAATTTAAAGAAATTGTCTTCAGCTGTCATTTAAAGGATAAATGAGTCACTGCTGTAATATTAATGCCCCTTATATTAATGTAATGAGAGATGGCGCTCCAAAAATGCTCTTGTAACCTGTTAGTGAAGCCTAACAAGTGTACAGGTCAATGACACAGCTGTCTGTCAATGAGATGGCCCTGGTTAATTTATTTAGATAATACTGAGCTCTGGTTTACACATGAACTGTCAATTACCAGACATACAAGGTAAATCATGAGCAACAATCATCATCTGAAGCTGTTCTGCATTGGGAAAGGATGAGTTGAATGAGGTGCATCAATAGCTTTAACCAATTTAACCAGCTGTCAGAGAAATGCACTCAAATCGTGATGTGCAAAATACTCAGCGTTAAATAAACGTAAGTGAGGATTAATAGCTGTAAAGAGGGAGTATGCGGTAACCAGAACTCAAGCAGGCCTGAGAGTAGACAAAAGACCAACCACTCCGCTTGTGTCTTCCTCGTATGAGGTGTCGGAGACTACGCTGTCAGATCTGTCTCAAAAGAAACAGGTCAAAACATACTGAATGAGCCCTTGAATGAGGCCGCCAACACAGGGTGCTTAATAAGAGAAACCCACATGAAGAAATGCCTTAGCTCATACAGGGTTAGATTTCACAGGATGTCTTGTATACTGCAGCTATGAACTTTCACCAACCTGACTTTAAGGGTCTTCACAGGGATTTCTAGGTGGTCCCCATTATCATAAGGGATCTCCATTCCTCCTTCAGCCTCCATCATGCGTTGTGCTTCCTGGGTAGACAGATAGTGACATAAAAGGAGGTTGGTCAAAAATTCGGACCCAGATGATAGAAGAAGAAATGTGTGTTGATAGAAATATTCAAAGTCTATATATTATCAAGAGAAGATAAACAAAGCATCATATTGATGTTAAATGCCTATAAAGAGGTACAGGAGAACCATCTTTAAAATTTCAGTTCACATCCTGAAGAAGTACCTCTTTTGCCTTTTTCTTTTTGTCGTCTTCCTTTTTCTTCTTGCTTTCTGGTATTAGGTCATCCAACCAGCTAAGCTCCCTCTTCGTGAAGCAGAAATCCAGAAGCTTCCTCACAAATACCAGAGCAAGAACCTACAGAAGGCAAATACAAGACCTGAGTAAAAATACATGCAACAATGGATGATGAGCAGGACAATCTGAATAAAGATAAAAAAAAAAAAAAATGAATAAATATATATTTTCTAAATGTAATCTACGAGCATACAGAGACAGAAACTAATTTTTGTGCAAAATTTTGGGGATAATTTGCAGTAAAGATAAACTGCAGATAAACAGAGAGATAAACAGAGCAGATTGCACTCCAAGTACATAATACATTTTCTTTAAATTGTATTTTTTATTTTTTTGATTAAAAAAGCTACACAAATAATATGCAATAATAAAGGTTATGCTGCAAACAGTCATATACTGTACATCACTTTGATGGAGACATTCTTGGTATTTTTTCTTGCAATGTGAAAAAGACATTTAATCAACAATATTGTAGGATTTTTCTGGATTACACTTTAAATCCAATTTTTCTACCCAAAAAGAACTCTTTTAAACCTTTTCTCGACTTCCCAATCCATATTAACATTCTTTAAATTGTTTGTAAAGAAAAAAAATGCAAGATATGACAAAGTATTATTTCTAAATGTTTTGAATATCGGTCAGTGTTTGAAAATTCAGAAAATGTTTCAATTAATGCAACATCTGAAATTTGTGCAGGTAAGCATGATCCAATCATACTGGAGACACATTAGAATTAAGGTGCAAATGCAGTTCGGCTAAAAAAAACATCAAATACACAAAATGCATGTTAATGCCAGGTGTAAAGGGGACCTATGAGATTTTATGGTGAATTTTAAACGTACCATCATAGGGAAGACCACCGCGGCAGCAGACACTTTGATGACCCACAGCAGCACCAGGCAGGTGAGCTGAACTACTGTGAATATGTGAACCTTCCACAGCGGCACGTATCTCAGGTAGATCAGGTCAGGCTGGTGCTTTGCCGGCATCCCGAACAGCTTAATACGGTCAAAGAACTGCAGTGCAATGAATACACAAAAACAACATGACCACACATCCATCATAGCCTTAGTTTGGCCTGCATGTATAAACAAGACATAAATCAATCCTGTAATTAGATCAAATATTGTGAAAATGAAAGTGTGCTAACCTGTATGCCTTTGAGTGAGGAGACACCCATGTAGAGGAACACTCCATACAACACAGGCATTGGGATAAACTATAGAGAAAAATGTAAATTAAAATTAAGAAACAGAACAATTACAATTAAAAACACAGTTAACACTGTAAAGCCAGACATGTGGTCTTTTTATAATTTTTTTAAATGCATTTTATTTATTTATTTATTTATTTATTGCAATGGAAGTGTTTACTGAACCTTTAGACAAAATATAAAACAATGAAAATTGCATATTTGTTTTATTTTTATTGGGAACCTTTTTTGATGCATCATGTTCTATAGATGTTCTATAGCTCGTATAGCATGATCTAGTAGAATATGGAGCTCATACTCCAAGAGGAAAAAAAACTCCTCAGTTTTCAGAGGCCCTAACCAAGTTAAATATGTTACATTTTATATTTATAAATATTTACATGGCCAAAAAGTAAGATCAAATTCTGATAGCTTGAAAAGTAAATCAGTGTAATCTCCATGAAGACATATCAGACGACTTAAAATTGTATACATTTTAACATGATTTTTCTGAGGAGAAAAAAAAAGATGTAAGGACAATTAAGCAAACCAAAATTGCTTTAGTCCAATTGGTGTTTATCTTGAAATATTGGCATAAGAATATAAAATGTATTCTTATGTTTACTTCATAAAAATCAGTGAAGATTTTACAGCAAATAGACACATGTAACACAACCTGAACATGGATGTATTTAGAATGATACTTAAAAACATTTACTTGCTAAAAAGTATAAATTATCAATCAGACAATAGAAATTATGTCGTAGCAAAACAGGTTTTTCAACCAATTTTTGATCATGTAGACAATTAAGAGGCCTTAGAAATGTGCATATCAAATGATACAGTAGATTTATATGGTTAATAATTATATATTTTATTTTATTTTTTGCACTACAAACTGAGCCATACCTTTAGAATAGATGTCATGAAGACAGACAGACCCATAAGCACAAAGATCATGAGCCCAGTAACCCTCTGCTCACGAATGCCCAAAAACTTGGGCTGCTCTCCCGGGGCTGAGCACTCCGACTCCACCTTCAAACTGTTGACGTGGGAGATGGAGAGGACTGTGGCAGCAACGAACCAGGGCAAGCCCATCACAGAACACACGCCAAGCATCACAGCCACCACCAGGAGGTCAAGATGATACCCACAGCCTTTCTGCAGAAGAACAGAATCATGAGCCCCAGGACCGCCGCAGTGCTCTGACAGACTGGATCAACTGTCGAACTGACCTTGAGCTTGTGTTCTTTACGGTTGATGATGACAGCGGTGATCTGCTGATCCATGAAGATGAGGATGGTGCACAGGAGGGCAGGGATGGCTGCTGCAAACAACGTCCATGTGGGGTTATCACCCAGAGGTGAGATCAGCCAGCCACGGTTCTTAGAGGTGGGCTATTGGACAGAAGAAATACACTTTAAATTATAATAAACATAAAATTTGATTTATTGGGGATGAACAATTTTTGTGCCATATCACTTTTCAGTCTATATTAGAGAGTGCTTAATTTATTGGTATCTGTATTGTATTGTCGATATTGTACATTCTTATTTCTCCTATTTTTACATTTAGATCACCTTTGCCATTATCTAATGCTCAAATAAAGTTAATTAATAAAAACACACAATTTAATAACACTTAAACATAATCTTTCGCAATCTCAAAATTAATATTCATATTTCATACTGTACATTATAATGTTGTGATGCCCTAAATTCACTTGCAGCATTTGACTGATTTTAGTTGTAAGTTTTTAATTTCAACACATTTAGACAAAATAGTATAGAATTGTAATACCAGTCATCGGTGCATCCCTTTACAAAAGGAATTTACAAAAGAAATGAATGATTTAGAGTCACCAAAGCCAAAATAAACAGCATCCAAGAAGCACATACTGTACAATACAGCTAAAACGTTTAGGGTTGGTATGATATTTTTAAAGTATTTTGTTTTTAAGAAGAATTTTTGCATTGATTTGATCAAAAATACAACAAAAACAAAATTAGTGTGAAATATTCAGTGTCACTGATTTGTTGCTCAAGAAACATTTCTTATTAATATCAATGTTGAAAATAATTCTGCTGCTTTTTGTGGAAACCGTGATGCTTTTTTTTTTAGGATTGTTTGATGAATAGAAAGTTCAAACGAACAGCATTTATTTGAAATTGAACCAGCTTTTGTAACTTATTTCACTTTTAATCAATTTAATGTGTCCTAACTGAATAAAAGTTCAAATTTCTTACATTTCAAACATTAAAAAAATTATTACACTTTTGAGCATTACTGATGAATGGCAATACTTGCATAAGAGTGTAGCACCTGGTTCTTAGGCTTTATAGAAAAACAGTTAAAGAAGAGAGGGTTAAATCAATAGTCAAAGCCCAGCAGGATAACAGAAAACCGAAACAGCTGGAGTGGTTTAAAGTCAACTAAACCCTGCTAAGTGTGTTTTCTGTTTATTTTGGACTATTTACCACAAAGTTCTCTCCATTCACATGATGATACACTCATTTTAACTGTTTTTGAAGATATAAAGCTGTGCAAGTTAAGTGCTCTGAGAAATACTGATTCCAAATTTTTCTTTGTAAATTAACTTTTGGCCAAATTTAGAAGAGTGGAAACCAAAGGTCAAAGGTCCAGAAACCCTAAAACCAGCCAAACATGATCTGTTGAATCTAGCTTAAGAACTAACAAGATGAACAAACACAAATTAATAATAGAAAACGACATTTATAGTACCTCAAAGGTATCTGGGACGTGTAGTTTAGGAGAGGGGATGCCCACCAAGTAATCAACCAAGACCATAATCATGATGGTTAGAAAAACTGCAAAGTCACTGATTGAAGAGCGGACCTGGAGGACAGAAACTAAATGTTAGAGCAAATAACACTATCAGCATATGATCAGCGCATGACTCTAGTGAGTGAAGTGAAGTGACGTGACATGTGGCCAAGTATGGTGACCCATACTCGGAATTAGTGCTCTAACCTCTACTGACCTTAGTGGGGAAATAGCGCTTGGTCTTGAACTGCTTGAGGAAGGATGACAGGAAGAAAGTGGTGAAGAACAGAATGACAGACCAGAACAATACATCAGGGATGTACGGGCCATTATGTCCACAAGCAGGACCCACAAACTCGCCATGGAGTTTCTTGCAATCCTTTAAAAAGAAAGGGGGGAAAAAAGCAAGTAATAATTAAAGATATTTTATATATTTTATATGGATACAAGTGCAACTAAAAATTACTTTAAAAAATAAAAGATTTTACATGTTAAGCTTTGATGATAAAGAAATCAACAGAACAAGAAAAAATATATATTTTACTTTTGTTAAAAGTTCCATATGCATTTGATTCAGAAATATGCCGTTAAGAAGTTGTTTCTTTATCATTTACTGTCTATCAACTATAGTCTGGCAACTGGACACCTTTGATGCTGCCCTTATTCTGACTGTCCACCTTATTCTGATGTCTTTTGAAATTGGACATAAAAAATTAAACTATTAAAATGTTAAGCTAATGTGTAATACCATTAATCCTGTTTCTCCTATTAATGTTAACTTTGGCAGCACTATTTAAAAACACATTTTAACTGTAGTGTGAAGAAAGAAATGCTTACTGGCACATCAAGGTCACTCCAGTTTATGGTCTCAGGATTAAAACCTGACTGATTCCATGCCTGTACCATCTTCTCTGTGATATTAGACGGAGATGAACACTGACATCTAAGAAAAAGATAAATAAATACACTTATAATAAACAACATATAAACAACAAGGTGAATATTTCCTTACGTGTAAGATGTGAGGTTATCCAAATTGTCGTGCATGTTGAAAGGGAACATCTCCCCCAGCTGGAAGAGTTTCTCCAAGGCCTCATAGATGAAAATGATGCAGATGAGAGCAGCGAAGGCTTCCTCTGTGAATCTCGTTATATAGCACACTAGAGAGCTGGCATCTGTAGCAACCAACACGATACATAAGAAGGCTGTCCACAGGCCAATGCTAGTGCGCAGAGAGAGGTAGGACAGACCGTAATCACTGAGGAGAGACAAACAGACATGTTATATATCACAACATACCTGGATAAAATCATCTGCTAAATGAACAAACTTAAACATCTGTGTGTTTCATATAATCAGCCATGTGTTTTTGTATAGAGAACGGATAAACAGACTTTTGAAACCAAGCAATTTTTATATTTGCACTGCTGCACAAAAACATATAGACACTGATGGTTTTGGATAGCTGCACAAAGTAGGATTAAAATGAGGCTGAACTTAAAATGTGTGTTGTATTTTTCAGAGCGCTGCACCAGTAGATGGCGCTATGGTACTTACAGCTTAAAAATCAATCTTTCACAAGAGGAAACAATCAGAATTGTATTTCACTTTTTAAACTGTAGTTGGGTTGTGGCTAGAAGGGATACAGCAAAAACCGGAAGCTAACAATAAATTGAATTTTCTACCAAGTAGATTGTGTTTTATTAACGTCTACACCTACCCCAACCGTAAACCTACCCCTTACAATAATGCAAAATTAGTCATTATTGTTGTACAGTGTGAGAAAAATTACACTATATTGATGTGCGCAAAAAAATGCCTTCTAGCCTTAAACCTGTAGTTGACATGAAATGTCAAGCATTGCCTGGAATATGACATGTTATACTTCAATTTTATATACTTCAACTTTTTAAAATAATTGTTAGTTATAAGCAAATAATTTGACTGGACTAACAGCATTACAGGAGTGCTGATATTTCATAAAATATCAGGGTAAAGAACTCAACATTCATTCATCTATAAGTTTGCACACAAAATAAAATAAAGGATTCAATTAATCACAATGATTTTCATTAGCTTTTTATTTGCCCATTAAGTTGGTACTGTAAGTTTGATTCAGTTCTCTGAACTCAGTTCAAACTGTTCATTTTAATGAATCAAATCTATTTTAGTCTTAATGAATCAAATATATTTTTTATAAAAAATAAATAGTCACAAACTGCCCCAGTTTCTCAGCACAATTTCTAAAATGTGAAAATGCATGAGGGAGAGGATGAGGAACATTGTGACACTCTACTGAAAGTGAGTCTCCCTCACCTGCAGAACTTGAAAAGAATCTTCTCAAAAACTAGAACTGGCCCAGTGCTGCCCAGGATAGTGAGAGGCTGACCAGAAAACAGAGAGAAGGCCACACCGGTCAGCGACGCTCCAAACAGAGACTCAATAGCACTCTAAAACAAACACAGACAAAAGAGATGTTATCAACAATGTGGGAGAGTTTCAAACAAATAATAAACACATTCTGTGGAAGCAGAAATTATATCTTTTAAAGCATAAGGAAAGACTATGCTTAATAAACACTCTTGATTCCAGTGAATCTGAATCATATTCAGACTGTTCCACTCAAGAGATTTAATCCGCCATTATTCTTTCCAAACAGAGCTAAGTCTACAAGTCTGACTCACTATGTTGTTTTTTGTGGTTTCCCCCAGAAGGCCACCGAAGGTGATGACGGGGGACATGCAGGCGCAATAGAGGAAAAGGATAGAGGCCAAGCACTGCAGGCTAAGAGCGTCCCGCACATCGCTCCAGTAAAACGGAGCTTTCCGCTTAACGTCTAGCACCAGTCCACCAAATATCCTGTGATGAAGGAAGAAAATAAAAGGATCAATTCTATCAGGACATACTCACAAAAGCAATCCAATTTAGAGTTAAATAATTTGCAGAGGTTAACTAATAATAATAATAATAATAATACTATTGCTGTTATATATTTGGTATTAACATCCACGTTTTCTAATAAAATAGAAATTATGAATGACTGTTGGGTATAACAGTGAAGTTAACCATGTAAAGTCCCTACATTAATGGAAATAAAATTAGCAAATGCATTTGGAAATGATATTATAAGGGCTTCTCATTTTGTCCTAATGGCTGCTTAGGGTGTGTTGTATTTTCAGAGTGCTCTGGGGCTCTTAAAACACATCTTAATGGACGGCTCTCTTACACAACTGTCTCCAGCCGGCCATTTTAAGCTACACATCAAAGGATAGGCGCCACTGTTAAATATACCGCCTTTATTCAATACCTCCAACATGAAAGGCTCACAAAATAAAAACATTTTTACCCCCCTCCATTTAATGCATGTTTAATAAGGTCCTCCTTCATCAAAAGAGACTTAAGTAAATCCGACATCACCCCCTTCTCTCTCTCACTAACACTGTGTTCAGCA